TGATACATTCTTAAAAAGTGATTAAGAAAAAAAAATAGGTCTGCAAGATAGCACAGCAGACTAAGCACCTGGTTATACAAGCGCAGGGACCGGGGTTTGATCCCCAGTGCCACACGTCACACCAGCCCTGCTCCCGGGTGCACTGAGCAGGCCACCAAGACTGGGTGGGTGTGGTGGTGCATGCCTGCAATCCCTGTGCTGGGGAGACGGAGACAGGAGCATCAGTATGAGTCCAGGCTGTGTAGCAAGACCTTGTACCAAATACATTTTAAAAAAGCAAAGCGAAGCAAATAGAATTATATATTGAGAGGAGGCAGTTCAAGGGCATCAGGGCTCTACTCTAGAGAACTGAGGAGAGAATTCAGCTAGGTTGTTTTGGATTCAATGAGTTTGCATATTTGGCAGCTTGGTGAAACTAAAATTAAAAAGTATATCAAGGTTTCCAGGTTTCAATAGCCTTAGTTGTGCCAAACTTTGCATTTCAGTCAACACTGCCAAATCTTTCTGAAGTCACTCAATGTTAGCAACTCCCAGAATGCCCCATACACCTAGAAAAAGTCTTTTGGAGGATAAAGGGACAGTCTTCACAAACTAGACAGGCATATTGACCAGGTCAGTCATGGGGAAAAGGTATAGCCCCCAGTGTCAGCATTGCATTCAGAACATGTTTGGGGGAAGCAATTAAAGCCCTTTTGATTCTTTTCTAAAGAATCAGTTTAGGTATGATATTATCTGGGATTGGAAATAAAATTAGTACTATAAGAAAAATTTGCATTAACAAAGTATATAAAGTGAGTCAAGAAAATTTCTACCTGAAACTTTTGCTTAAATCCTGTCATTAGATTTTAATATCTGTACAAGGATGTGTATATAATACATATTCTTTTCAGTGCTTTGAATAAAAAAATCAAAAAATTGTTAAAGGCTATGTATAAGCTTATATAAATTTGCATATAATGATCAAATTAGGATTTTATAGTCTAGATATCACCATAAAGAGTATAGAAGTCTTAAAAGATAATGTAGAAATAAAAATATAATTATAAATATTGCAAAATGTATATATACAGGAATGCTTATAGATTATGCAAGTGACCGTGAAAGGCGTGAATTCTTAATTATTTTCTATTACTTGAGCTATATTGGATAATCTAAGATGTATTTGAAAAATAACAAATATGAAATATGAAGCACTTAAATTTTACTAGTGACAGTGGGATAGGCACAGGCAGGTGCATCATGAAACTAATGACGTGGAAACTTCCTTATTAGGGTTTCAAATTTAATTACTCATTTTTCAATCCCAGGAGTTGAGTCCTGGTTTGCTTATTAAGTCAGAAAGCTTAGTGTACCTTTATTTGTTGATTAGACAATCTTTGTGCATACTCCAGAAATCAGCTCTGAGGAAATCCTAGAAAGAAATCCAGTAGAGTCTCATGAGCCCACTAGACGTACTATTCTAGTAGGAAATCATATTAAAAATTGTTCTCATTGTGTTGTAGTTAAAAAATAAGGCTTGAAAAAGTTTGTTGTGCTACTCAGATTTTCTGCATAACACATTAGCTTTTGAATTCAAACTATTTCTCTGGCTCAAAACACAGAACTCTCTTCTTAAATTTTTTTTAAATTAATTTTAATGAGAAAGAAATAGCCATGAGAGTTTCAAAACAGGTAGGTAGAACAGTTACAATAATTAATACACTGCATATTGTTGTCTGCATAGTAGTCATTCACAGTACAAGATGCAGACATGATCTCTTGTCTAACCAATATTAGTACAAATACTTCTTCTCATTGAACTAAGAGAACGTAGCTGTGTATCTATCCTAACTAAAGGCTCAAGTCAACAACTTCTGACAATTGCCATTTCTGCTGATAACCCATAACTAGTATGGACTGCTGGACTATTTTGGGATGTTTTGCTGAATTCAAGTACCTACAATATTTGGCCTGGTGTCAAGTATGAAAAGGTCCTTTGAAGACTGACTTCTCCAAATACAGTTTCTCTAACAGCAATGGAACACCCATCTCTGACAAAACAAAACAAAAAAGGGAGATACAAATGGAAGACTATTTTGTAGTGAAGAAAAAATATGTATGTATATACAGAATTCTCTTCTTGCTCAGGGGCCATGCTAAATTTCTTTGTGTCATTCCAATTTTAGTATATGTGCGGCCAAAGTGAGCACCAGAATTCTCTTCTTTACATCAACTTTTCACCCTGTAGTCTTTTCTTTAATGGTTCATGGGTGCATTTTCCCTCAGCAGTTTTAAAATAATTTGCTTAGAAGCTTCATTTTCAACTAACAAAAGTTCAATGTCTAGTGATGTGTGTTTATTTTATAATATTCTTGCAAGTACTCTTCCTGGTGTGGGATATTATTACATTTAAGAAAGATATGCATTCTAGTCCAGACAGCCTAAACATAGGAGATGGTAATGTGTCCTGTTCATTCAGAAAGTTCCTGGTGGAGGATTAGTCAGTGATGACAGTCAGTGAGGGAGATTCGCTAATGGTACTTCTGTGTCCGCAGAGCTAGCAAGCACGATGGGCTCCAAGGTTCCGTGTGCTGCTGTGGAACTGTCCATGAGTGGTATAGGCATAGTCATATAGTACAGATATTATAGGGAAGTCGGAGTTATGGATGTAATTCCAATACAAGTCCCATTTGAGGCCACCTTCAGTTATCATCTTAAAGATAGATACTTTTATGTCTATAGTATCAGGCCCAAGCAGTGCCAACATTTTCTTTGCTTGAGGCAGTCATACTTCTTTGTCTGTAATCATACAATATGTGAATGAAACACAGTATAGTGCAAGTAGATGGATTTATAGTCAAGTGTCTAGGAAAGGAATTTTAAATGTGAAATAAAGAGTCTAAAGCCAGAGAAGAAAAATAACCCCAACCTATTTGGGTATTAACAATAGGGAAGAAGTGAAACAGAAGAAAGGCATGCTATACTTATTTAAGTGCTTTGTGTTCAGAACATGCATAGTTATACCTGTAGAACTTTTGCCATAATTTGGTTACCTAGTAATTCATTATTCTGAGTTAAATATTTTGGCCTGTCAGGTATATGGGTCAGTGGCACAGCACCTGCCTGGCAAGCACGAGATTGTGAGTTCGATTCCTGATACTGAAGAGGAAAAAGTTGCTTCGCCAAAAAGAGATATGAGGGCCGGCCAAATCGCAGATTAAAGTACCTGCTTAGGGGCTGGTGAGATGGCTCAGTGGTCTAAAGTACCTACTTAGAACAAGCTTAGTTAAAGCACAGGGACCGCGGTTCAATCCCCCAGCACCACATGCCAGCCAGCCGCACTGCCTGGTGGGCTGAGCTGGCCACACACACACACACACACACACACACACACAAATAAAAAAAAAAGTACCTGCTTAGGCAGACACAGGGGCTGGGAGTTCAATCCCCAGGCCTGCCGTGCTGGCTCTGCCCCTGGGGTGCGCTGAGACAGCAATTGAGACTGGTGAATTAAGGATGATAAAGCTGCACAAATTCCAATGAAGTCAAAATCATACCAATACTCCGTGTAGCCTTCGGCTCACTTGTGATTTAGGCATGTGGCCTTGGTAAGAGAGCTTTCAGGAGTGTGGCGAAGGAGGGAGTCAACGAAGAAGCAGCCGGGAAGTGAGATGCGCACTGTATCAGTGAGAGAAAGCAAGACACGGTGGGAGAATGACTTCAATTTGAAATGGAAACCAAGAGTTTCAGATCCTCTTTTGGGAACTGGGCATTGCATGATAAAATAGGGCTAGAAGTTTGTGGTATGATACTTAACTCCCCAGAATTACTTCTCCAGGGACCCTTGTCTGTGAAATGGCTTAAATATGGATAAGGGGCTGAGGCACATAACACTAACTATGTGGTGTATGGTTTGCTCTATTCAGGATTGTGGACAGGAAAGAGAAGAGACATCATTGGGAGTCATTGTTCCCTTTCATTTTTCCAAAAGCGGATGAACCTTTGTTTTACAATAGACTTCCCTTTGTGCTATCTTCTCCTCACTTTCCTTATCTTTTTTAAAAATAATTTTGAATAATTTTTAATAGTAGTTTTTAATCTGCCATGGAATTTTAAATTATTCATATCCAAATTAATTATGTAACTTATTTATTCTGTTTTTTTTTTTTCTTTTTTTTGTATTTGGCATAGGGTCTCCCTATCCAGCTCAGACTCGTAGTGATCCTCCTGTTTTCAGACTCCCCACCCCTGGGATTACAGGTGTGTGCCCCCATACGCAGACTCTGTCGCTGGCTCAGTGTGCCACAGGGGAGGGCCAGCATGGCATGCAGGACTGGGGATCAAAACCTGGTCCCTGCGCTTGCCAAAGTAAACGCTTAGTCCACTGAGGTATCTCTCCGGCCCTAATTCTGTAATTTATAAAAATCTTCAAGGTACTCCAAAGTACTATGTTGTTTTGACTTAAAATATCCCTTCCTTGAGAATATATGCTTATGTAACCCAAGAGTAAGATTCAAAATATTTACCAGCCAACCAGTGGGCATGTAAAACAAACTTTCAGTACTTGGTGTTTTATAAACCAAAGTATGTAACATTGCTTTGGTTGATATATCTGCCCTTTTAACATAAATGCAATGCAGTCACTGTATCTCAATTTTAATTTTAACAGTTATATAAAATAACACCTTCAATAAATTCTAACTCCATGAAAATTAATACTTGAATTAAGTAAAGCTGAATCCTAGATTTGTTGTATGGGATAGACTGCTGATCAAGTGTTTGATAAATTCCTATATCCTACTCTTTTTTTCTGACTGAGTTGGCTCTTTGCATTTGAGAAAATGGCAATTAAGTCATTTAATGTTTACCTCTGCATTCATTCATCATCTGTAACAGTGAAGAGTCAGACATTTTTCTTCCTATCAAATTCTTGAAAAGACATGTAGTTATGGTTCACGTCTGGATGTAGTCATAGGTGGGCGGGCTTCTCAGAGGTGACTGAATCTAGTTTGTGATTTGTGGTCCAATGTTGGGATTAAGGATGTGAGTGCTCCACCTTCCCTGGGGCCTAGAGCGGGCAGGCTGGATACAATGTAAGACACAGAAAGAGCCTCTCCGTCTCCCTCTGTCTCCCTCCCTCCCTCCTCTCCACTTGCTCTCTGCTTGTGGCTTTTGCTGTTTGGCACTACAATGAACTTGCTTTTCTGCCATGTGTTACCCTGCCTTGGAGCCAGTTGATTATGGGCTGAAACCTATACAAATCATGAGCTAAATAACCCTTTCCTCCCTTAACTTGTGGGTGCTGGGTATTTTGTCTCAGCAATGAGAAAAGTAGCCAACACAGATATGTAGATCTAGGAAATTACTTTAATATGCATAATATCCTATTTATTTAAATGTGTGAAACCTGTATGGTAGGTGAACAGAATGAATCTAGAGAGAGATTTCCAAAAATAAAGCTTACAGTAAAAGTGCTAACTTTATGAAGGTACTTGGCATTATTTATTTAAATTTTTTTTTCTCTTACACTTGATTCTATGTTGCATTCTAAGTTATTTGTGGCAGGTGTTAGACATGATTCTTGCTTATAGAAAATCCTGCACAAATGACAAAACACAATTGCAAACCAATGTGTCAGTAAGCATTAGCTTACACGATGCATATTCTAAGTTTGGTATCAGATGCAGGACTGCAGATAAGGTCTGATCTACTGGGGTCTTCACAGAACTGATTTGTGTCATCCTTAGCACTTCTTTTGTCTAAAATTGAAGGTTCATGAAAGTAAATAGATTTTGGTTGTTTTTGTTGATCATTACTGGATTTGCAATGCTCAGAAATATCTGGTACATAGAACAAGTTCAGGCTGGGGAGGTAGCTCAGCAGTCTAAGCGACTTCTTGGCAAGTACAAGGTGTCAAGTTCAACCTTCAGTACCACATGCCACGCTGGGCACAGGAATGGGCACGCTGGGTCAGTCACCAAGACCGGGCATGGTGGTGCACACCTGTAATCCCAGTGCAGGGGAGGCTGAGACAGGAGGATCACTGTGAGTCTGAGCTGCGTAGTAAGACCCTGTACCCAATAAACAAATAAATAAATAAATAAATTAAAAAAAATAAAACTAGCCCTATACATTTTTGTTAATGAGTTTTAGTATCCTTCATATATATATATATATATATATATATATATATAATTTTTTTAACTGTGGCTGCTAATAAAATTACACATACACACATATAATCTTTATAAATATTCTGAACTTAGCAATTCAGACTTTCAGATTTTTGTTTGATTTATTTTCTTTTCCTGTTTTAAAACCAGCCTTCTTCATATGTAAGTGTAAAGTCAATGATATATACTGGTTTGCAGAAGGTAGGAAGACTCTCGTGCACACATATGTAACTGCAATCAAAGGAAATGCAAGGTAAGAAAATAAGTTGGCTGACATAAGTGTGCTGAGCTGATCGGAGAAGAGAGATAAGGTCGAAAGCACTGGACACCAGAGAACTTTTCTGAAAATTAGGATTCATCTGAAAGGACGGGGATGAAAGAGCTTCAGACTTAAGAGACTTCCTTGGATGATTCCCATGTATAATGAGTTTTCTGTGGTTAGCATGGAAGGCACTATAAGGAAGACATTAATGATTAAAGTGTTTGAGGCAGGGGAATTTCAATGACTGGAATTCATTTTTGAATGTTCCACTTAAGAAAGAAATGGATCTATTAGTAGCTCTGTCATCCATGAGACGGAAGTGTTCAGTCTCTCAAGGCAATAGCTAGTAAAATAACAAAAGTGGGAAATGTATTTGAGCTGAGGAAAGGTTGCAGTGGCAAAGCTGAGACATGCAATTGCCAACTTCTGTGAAAAATTAGCAAATACTCAAGATGATAAAGTCCGTATTTTGAAGAAAATATCCTTCTGCCTCTGACCCTATCCGATTTTATGAAGATATATACAAATCACACACTTAACTCTCGTCTCCATATACCTTAGCCTCTACTGGGTCTTTTTCATCATGAGGAGAAACATTTAAATTATGTTCTTAGCATCTTACTTTTAGACTAGTTTTTAGTGTTTCTCTAGTTTTTTTTTTTTTTTAATGTATTTAGTACAGGGTCTACAGGGTCTCACTATGCAGCTCTGACTCTAGTAATCCTCCTGTTTTCAGCTTCCCAAGTGCTGGGATTACAGACTGTCTGAGCACACA